GTTGAAGAAAGTATTTTTACTAAAGATTTGTCCGTGCATTTATGGAGTCAGGCTGCAAGGTAATTTTCTTGTTGAAGAAAGTATTTTTACTAAAGATTTGTCCGTGCATTTATGGAGTCAGGCTGCAAGGTAATTTTCTTGTTGAAGAAAGTATTTTTACTAAAGATTTGTCCGTGCATTTATGGAGTCAGGCTGCAAGGTAATTGTTGAAGAAAGTATTTTTACTAAAGATTTGTCTGTACATTTATGGAGTCAGGCTGCAAGGTAATTTTCTTGTTGAAGAAAGTATTTTTACTAAAGATTTGTCCGTGCATTTATGGAGTCAGGCTGCAAGGTAATTGTTGAAGAAAGTATTTTTACTAAAGATTTGTCCGTGCATTTATGGAGTCAGGCTGCAAGGTCATTTTCTTGTTGAGAATAGAATACTTTTTTATTTTACAGTTTCATATTTTATTTGCATAATTTCTAGAACTTCCTAAATAAATATCATATGTTTTTTCTTCAATAAAACTTTGTATCCCGTCTGTTATTTTCTCTACTCTAGGACTAACTGTAGCAAAATCAGCAATGAAGGGTTAAACGAAAAGTTGAAAAATAAGAAATAAATGGAAATTACTTTTTTCTATTTCTAAGATTACTGTATATTGTAACAGACAGTTACAATTAATTAATCATAAGCTTTGAGCAGTTTACATCTATTTTCATTTAATTTTATTGATCTTTAAATCATGTCTAACAACTAAATCTGTGTTCACAATCCTGTAAGTCACTCGGAGAGTACCTAGATCGAGTTATGAGTGCATAACTCAAGTTACAATAAGTGTTAAATTACGTAACACAAGAGCATGCATACTTTGCTAAGAAATTTTATATAATCTTTTTTTTTTATGTTTTTTTATCTAACCTAATAAAGTTTCTAATTTTTACCTTGTAGTTAGTTTTACAATATAAAAGAAATTTACATAAAAAACAAATTTAACACTTGTAGGTTTTGTACTTTTTACAATCGAAGTCTTGAAGTTTTGATAAATTTTTGTAAGGGTTCTTGTTAGTACTTAACTGAAATTTTATATGTTTTAGATATTCAGTTTAGAACACAAAATAATAACATTCACAAAGAATACAATGTCCTATAACTATGATAATTTAACTGACTTTCTAACTAAGCTATAAATGCTTTGCTTGGTTAATCTGAACTTGGTAGTAGTAACTTTGAATCTGTTGGCCGAATACTTCAAAAGCTGTCATCAGAACAAGCTAGTCTTATTTGTAAAGCATTAAATTATAATCTTTTCTTTTTGTTGATTATTAATATTGTCATAGCAATTGTCATAGAAAATTATTTACTTTTTTTTTTTGAAAGAAAGTGTGTGATAGGAGAGTGTAACAACTGGATTTGACGTTCAAGTTTATATCCTAGTATAAAAAGAAGATTGGATCCAACAAAATTCGATTATGTCACAGCAATATCTATACTATAAGTTTGTAAGTTGTGTTAACATTCACACTCAAATAGGGATGGAACGTATATCTAAAATGGACATTTGCTGTCAAGTTTATTGACACTCATCGATAATAAAGTTGTTAAATTTTGAATGTAACTATGTAAAAGGTCATAACACTGCACTGTGACCCAACCATGTGCATAGGGTTAAATGTACATACAAAAGACTCATGTAGTGCTCATAATAAAGACAGAAATTATAAAGTTGTCAATGGATTGTATGAAGTTATGGTCTAAATCTCTTAATTAACCATACTGTTAGATATTTCTCTTTTTATCTTGTCTGTCATTGGGCTGATCAAGGAAATAAGATCATTATTTATTTGTGTCCTGCCCCTTTATTCATTATCTCTAATTGTGTTTGTATATGACTGTGTGCATATGTAGCATTCTTATCTTTAATTATATTCTAGGGTCAGAACACACACAGTGAAATTCCTGGAAATGCTTGTTATAACTCAGACTTATCCAGTAAGTGCTTTTATTTAAATCTTTCTTTATAATGGTGCTAATGGGTGAAAAGCACGGTATCATCGTGGAAGATTTAATGATTTTTAATATATAATGAACATAAAATATTACGAGAGATTTACAATGCTTTGAAATCAGTTTCTATTGCTGTATTTTGAAGAAAAAAGGTAAAAATGAAAATATAATGTTATGGTCTTTCTTTTGTAATTTAACACAAATAAAATGTTTTCCCATTACATTTTTATAATTCAGCAAAAAAAATATCTACAGAATATCAGTCAGACTACAATTTTTGTAATCATTTTAGTGTAAAAACAAAAAATTATATAATTTCTTTAGGATCCAGACTTTCCATGCAAAGAAAAAGAAGTCACACTGTCAGATATTCCTCTCACCTTGAAAATAGCAAGACCTCGGAAGCTTCAAGAAGAAGCAAGGCAGATGTTTGAGACTTTAGTCATATTTCATGGCACGCAGCATATATCTAGGTATAAAATCCATTGATCTTGTTTACCATGTGTCATAAGTCTCCTGTGTTTTCTGCAATATGCAATATAGAGATTTGAGACTTTTCCTTTTGTATCCTGCTTCATGGATGTATAACTTTTGTGGTATAAAGCGTTCTTGCTACCAGAATTATTCTTGAACCAATAGTTCTGTTGGTCAGTCTTGTAGCTTAATGTACAGATGGTTGTTTACAATTTATGGTAATTTCAGTGACTTTGTCTCTGGCCATCCCCTTAGTTTGTGACTATACAGGATAAAAACCCTAACCCTTTTGTTCCAATTCAGTTGAAGTGATGATTTTAAAGTACAGAAGGTGCCTAAAATTAATTTATTTTGGTATAGTTAGTTTTCAGGATTTTCAAACAAATTTTATTCTCTCTTATTTTGTGATCACAAAAACATGCAGGACATGATATTTTGGATAAATGGATATCTGTAATGTTGAATTGTATAGGTAAAGTAAGGGAAAGCATAATTCCAGAAAATATGGGCTACTCTGTGGTGGCTACCAGTTAAATACAGTTGATAGTGAAGAAAGTTAAGCACATTGTCACCAGAAGTAACTTTGAACACAGGTTCATTACAGCTGTTTATTAGAAACTACACTTGGAACTCTTGAACAAGGTAATTATTGTAGATTTTTGCTTATAAAAGACACAGAAGATTGTTGTGTTCACAAGATTCTCCCAAAACACACATCCAAGTGGAAGGCCAAATGTCAAAATCTGAATAAGTGGTATCTGGAAGGTAACAAATAGAAATATGTCATCACATTGAACAACTTGTCTTTATTATGTGTCTTCAAAAGTTTGGAAACTTCTGTTGATGGTCCCACATTCCAAAAATGTCATGAAAGCTTTTCCAAGGAACTTATTGTGATTGCAGGTTACAGTTATAATGGTTAGTTAGAATTAAGAAAAATTCCTAGGTGAATTCTGCTACATTCAGGCACACAACTAAGAGATATAGCTCTCGACCATATTTTTCTGGTCAGCACACCAGTTTTTCTGAAAGGTATAAGTACAAGTTGAAATATGTGCTCTACCATTTTACAGGTATCTTCTGTACTTTTGATTGCTGAAACAGTCCTCAGAAGTCATTGTCTCCATATAGTTGATGAACTTTGTAAAATTTGTAGAAAGGAGGGGGGACAACATAGACCTTCGTGTTTTTAGTAAAAGTCTCGTGTAATGAAAATTCATGCATTAGTCCATAAACAGGGACATCATACAATAGACCGTCATTAGTAGAAAGAGGCAAGGTATAGCCTAGGCTATCATTCTTGTGTTACTACCATAGATTTTGGTCAACCCTCTGTATATGAGTAGCATTTAGATACTATTTAAAAATATGAAGTATCTTCTAAGTTTTCTTGCATCAACATTTAACGAAAATCTGTTATAATGATACAAAGATTTAAAAATACAATCATATCTGTTATAATGCATTCTAACTTGATAAATTAATTACAGCTATAAGTTATGTATTCACTTGTGAAGTTGAATAGATTCACTGTAATTTCATAACTATTTAGTATTCAAGTATAATGTATGCCATGGTTATCCACAAAGTTTGTGATAGAAAAATTAGAAAGTACTGGATTATCAATAATATATTTATACATAAAGATGGAAATACTGTTTAAATGATAAGTACATACACTGAAATTACTTGACACTGTGTGAACATGAAATGGCTTATTGGTTACTTATATATATGATGGAAAATAAATGTTGATTCCTTATTATTATGAAATATGCTTTGTTTGTTGGTTTTAATGTAAGTTGTAAACTTTTCTGTTATTGAAAAACATTAAATGTATTGGGTTTAATGATTTGAAATACTAAACTAATTTATTAATGTAAATCTCATATTTCATAATACAAACATTTCTCTGATTCTATATACACACACAATCATAATGTATATTTTTTATAGCTTTTTTTTTTTTATTCTCTAGTGTGAATTTAATGGCATGTATGCAGACATTGAGCCTGATAGCCAAACAGAGACCAAGGTTCATGAGTCAGGTTGTTCAGGCTCTTGAGGCTCTCCATGGTATGTATTATTTTAAGCTTTTTTGCTTTCTATGATCTATGAGGCCTTTTATCTTGAGTAGTATTACAAACTCACAGCTTTAAAAAACAGAATATTTATATTCTGTTATCATAAAACTTTCCATAATTACTTGTTTTGAAAGTGTACTAGCTGAGTGAAACAAAAAATATAGATTTCCCAAGGCCTTTTGTGCTGTGATATTCTACACATATTTTTTCCTTGCATGGTGGGTATAACTGAGCAATAAACATAGCTTAGATGGTGAAAAGTGCTGTAGTGAGAAATTGTTACAGAAGTATAAAATCTGAAAAAAAAAACTTGATGCTTTCATATTTAATTCTGCTTCAGCCCAATATGAACCTTTTTTTTGTTCATGTATTAGGTACCTTGCATCATGTTTTTGAAGTGTCTGGAAGAAAATATAATATATATTTTATGTTTTCATTGCAGCTACTAATATTTTGTTATTGGTAATTATTTTTATATAGGGAAGAAATAAGAAATTATTAATATATTGCTTCTAAAATATTGTTACTGTATACTATTGTAATGAAATACTTTTTTTTTTCAGCCAACCTACCCCCAACTTTAGCAAAATCACAAGTTAGCAGTGTTAGAAAACACCTCAAGGTATGTAAAATATATTTGCTACCAATTTTATAAAACTTATAAACTCAACAAAAAAAAGTTTTTGGATTAAGATGACGAGAAATAATACAATTGTATTATTATAAGAATATGGGCTTTTATATTACCTGTGAGTGCTGTTCA